GTCTCTACTAAAAATACAAAATTAGCCAGGCGTGGTGGCACATGCCTGTAATCCCAGCTACATGGGAGGCTGAGGCAGGAGAATCGCTTGAACCTGGGAGGCAGAGGTTGCAGTGACCCGAGATCATACCATTGCACTCCAGCCTGGGCAACAAGAGCAAAACTCCGTCTCAAAAGAAAAAAAAAAAAGTATGATTGGACAAAAAGGGTATGATCTAATGGTAATACATGGGGAACGGGGGGACCAGAAAGGCCTGTCCAGATTCTTCTTGGCCTCCAAGTATAGGGCAGGACCCCTCTGAAACGAGGCCTATGACCTACTTCCAGATGAAGTTAGAGAATTCCTTTATGGCTAGCTGTCACAGAAAAACGGAAACAGCAGACTGAGCTACTTACTTCTGCTGTTTTCTTAATGACCAAAGTGCCATGTTTTGGAGTGTCGTGTTCTGAGCTCCAACAGAGGGAAGAGCGGGTCAGGGAGGATATCAAGCTAAAGGCCAGAAGAGGAAGGCAGTGACAGACAGAAAAGATAGGGGACAAGGAAGTGAGCAAACCACGAGATAAGTGGGTGTCATGAACTGGGAAATCAGAAGACCAGGGTTGGAATCCAGGCTCTGCTGTAAAGTAGCTGTGTAACCTCAAGTAGCTGTGTAACCTCGCCCCTTGTCCCTAACCTCTCCGGAAGTGATTTCTTCCAGCTGTAACATGAGGATAATTGTAGTACCAAGGGCCAGGGTAACTGGGAGGATGAAAGGAAATCATGTAGGTCTAGGCAGACTTAAAGGCAGTATGGATGACACAGATCGTACAAAACTTTAGCTAGGACATGGAAGAACCTTTTGTATTTTAAAGGTTGTATATTTATTTTAAGAGAAAAATACAACCAGTGCATCAAACTTGTGACTTCACAGATGTTATTGCTTAGGATAATTTACTATTTAAGTTTTCTTTCTTTTCTTTTTTTTTTTTTTTTTTGTTGCCCAGGCTGGAGTGCAATGGCGTGATCTTGGCTCACTGCACTCCGCCCCCAGTTTCAAGCGATTCTCCTGCCTCAGCCTCCCAAGTAGCTGGGATTACAGGCACCTGCCACCATGTCTGGCTAATTTTGTATTTTTAGGAGAGATGGGGTTTCACCATGTTGGTCCTGACCTCAGGTGATCCGCCCGCCTCAGCCTCCCAGAGTGCTGGGATTACAGGCATGAGCCACCGCGCCCAACCTCTCCAGCCTCGAGAGTTGAGATTTGGAGGAAGATCTGGGGGCCTCTACTTAGGTTTTCAAAACTAGTTTGTGCACACTTAAAAGTAATTCATTTCATTGTACGTAAATTTGAACTCAAAAGAGAAGAAAGCATTAAAATATTGAACTCTACTTAATATACATGCTGAAATGTCTTGGGATGAAGTACAACGATGTCCGCAACCTGCCTTGAAATGCACCAAGAGGCTGGGCATGGTGGCTCACGCCTGTAATCCCAGCACTCTGGGAGGCTGAGGCGGGTGGATCACCTGAGGTCAGGAGTTTGAGACCAGCCTGACCAACATGGAGAAACCTCGTCTCTACTAAAAA